ATTCACTTCCGACTGGCTTTCGCTTCATGGGTTTTGATCCCAACTTGCTCGTTGTGCAGATACCTTCGGCATCGCAAACGTCTGCAAACAGCCAGACCTTTTTTGAGCCATGCCTTCACGTTTGTCGGGATCCCACAAGAAAGTAATTTAATGCCTGGGTGGTACCCCCAGGAAGGGGTGTGAAAACACCATCCTAACTCTGGAATTATACCTGTAAGAAAAACATCAACATGGCCTCTCGGGCTTTGGCTCAATGCTTAAATGGGAACTCGCTCATCCAGATTTTCACCCGCATCCTTGTCAGCGCCTACCACTTGTGACATCTCAGCAGAAGCAGTCTTGGTTGTCTTGGCTGCCTTGGGCTCTTTTCTACCCTCATAGCGAGCCAAAAATTGAACCACAACGCTCACGAGGCTCACAATCAAACCATAAGCTCCACCAACCGCACCAAAAACGTCCCACAATGTTTGTCCAGGCGTGCGGGTGTACACATGTGCGGAGCGCAGCAATCGGATGTTTAATTTGCCACCTGGCCATCCCGACACTCGGCCATCATACTGCATACTTCCAAGGTACAGTTCTCGCTGAAGATTGCACTGTGCCGAGGACGTACAGCCTTCCTTGTCGCGGAAGACATTCATGCCAAGCAGCAAGGTCTTTTCATGCCAGAATTCCAGCGGGGTGTTGACCACCAGTGACGGGCCCGTGACAACCACGTTGGCACGGTTTCCTTGGCCTCCAGTCGTCATATTCCACAGCGAGACCACGATCCCCGAAGCTTCGGAGATGTCATCCGAGCTATAGCAAAGCAAGGCGTCTGAAGTCGTTTGATCAGCAACAGCAAGACTTTCTGGAGCACCGGCACAGTGAGGGTAGTCACTTGCACTGTAGCCATGCCAAACGCGGAACTCTTCTACGACTGAATTGGTCAAGGTCGACTGGTAGGGAACACAGCTGGGGCAAGAAATGTTGAAACTCACTGTGAGGATGCCGAAGTTCCGGACGTCTCCTGCACTGTATGTCTCCACAATGGGAGCAGTAGCCCAAACAATGATGGAATTTAAGGTATACGCAATTACCAGGCCAACAGTCAGGATCATTCCACATGCGTGTGAGCCATGAGATTCCACTTCTTGCTTAAGCGGCTTGTGAAAGAGGCTATGCTGCGCAACGGCTGATCTCCAAGCTGCCATGACTGAGGACGAAAAAGATGAACGAAGAATCTGTTTGAGCCATCCGCCTCAAGATTCCGGACATCCTGCTTAAACTCCTCCAGATTGCTGAAATTTCTCCAAGGATGGTGGCTGCCACAATTGGGGTCAAAATGGGTTACAATATCTGGTACCCAAATCGATTCTTCGTCACTAGGATACAAGACCAGAGACCTGGCCTCCACCGCATCGCCTCCACCGCATGGCCTCGGTAGACCAGGCCTCCACCCGTTCGCCATGCCAGCGTCGTTGTTCGTTTCTCATAACTTGACTCAAACAAATCATCACAACTCACAGATCATCACAAATCATTACACCTCACCAAAATACAAATCATTACAGATCATCACAAATCACAATCCACTTTTTGAATCACTTTTTTGTTGCAACCCTTCCATTCTGACAGAAAAAGCTGTGACCCGGGACCGTGGGCGCATGGATCCGTATCTTGCTCACGGGATCCTTGGCAGAAATGGATCTGGTTGCTTGGAAAGAACTCAAAAAAATGTGGACCCAAGAAATTTACATTTAAAGGACATATATATATATATGTAGATTTAGTATAGATGAGATGAGATGATATCTGTATCATATGATATATATATAATGAGATATATATATTTGTACAAATGAAGAACATCCATTTGAAAGCACCGAACAATTCCCTTTGCGTCACCTTGTCTTCCCCGTCAGCATCCGTGTGAACCTCACAGATCATCCCTGAATCAGCATGAAAGCCATGTTTAAAGGAAACATGGTGGGAAAAAACCGACCAAGGAATCCCGTGCCTCAGTACTCACGCGCGACTTCCTGTTTCCTCCCGTCTCCCTCGTCGCTACCACCTGGGCCGGAGCAGGTGGCACTCGACCGTCCCGTCGCTGAAAAACGCCAGCGCTGGCATCCAGGCCACTGGGTCCCGTAGCTTCAGTCGTGGATGATGACCTCAAGCCACGGCAGCAAAAGCTTCACATCAAAATGATTCAATTCGCCATGGAAAGCGATGGTTGAACCGCAAGAGGCTTAGCTCCAAAAAACTGACAAGTGTTGGTCGTGTTGGTCCCAAGGCTCAGAGTTCCCGTAAAGGATTCCCAAGCGCTGTACAAGAAGTCCAATGTCCATCTCAGTCCTCAGGCAGGTCGAGTGAACAAAACTCCATCACACGACCCGAACCGAACGACCCGAAATCGGCCGATATCGGTGTCGTAGAATTGCGTTCGAAGGGGTCCGTTTGCGTTCGAAGCGATATGAAATGATGATTGTTCTCAGGAGAAGAGGACAGGCAAATGAAAGCTGCATCATGGTATGTGAGTGCCGTCCATGTGTTGGTCTTCGTGGAATATTGTATACTAGGCGAAGCTGAGTACACCAAGATATGATCACAACACAGCAAACGACGAAGTTCGATTCTCATCGCTGTCAACAATCAGAACCCGAACGCAATCTCCGCCAAGCTGCACTGCGCAGCCAGGCAACTGCAAACACCATGATGGCCTGCAAAGAGGAAATTCTGCTCTAAATAGAAAAGAAAGAACAGAAGCTAACTATCTTGTAGCTTTGACAATCCATCAAAGCTTGGCCTCCCAAATACCCTCCAGTGTTGTGACGCTGCCGCTCTCCCAAATTCCGTGGTAGTGCAGGCACACTCCAACACTACACCGACACTAGAATCCTGTTGTACGACTTGGATTCTCTTGGATTTCTGACCTGTTCGTTTCTGAAGTGAATCAACGCAACTGGGTTCTCATGCCATGAAAGTGAGAATGATACTATGCAAAGCACATTGATGAATGTCCGTTTGGTGGAAGCAAAACATCCAGCTGGAAAAGTCTGTCTGCATGTTAAAGGAAACTAAACATCGAATATGTTTCGGATGACCACGCCCTGTCTCCAGCGTCGAACATTCAAGCCTTCATGCTGAATTGCTGAATGTGGACAAATACCTCGTTCATGAAGACTTGCGCCTTGCGTCTGCAATACAGTGCAAACATGAGTTGAACCAGCTGTTGAAATATGTTGACATGTGTGGAATTAAGACCCCACAACGCTGTGCGAAACTTCATCTCTACAGCTAGTCAATTCCCTGTCAGAATGAACGCCGAAAAACTCGAGTCAAGGAACGAGAAGGATTGTTCAACTGTTCGTCACATGTTGCACAAGGTGACTCATGACCGCCTCTGGGGGACATTGGCCCCACCCCACCCTTCTGTGCCTGAGCCGCCGGAAGCAGCTCGCTCGGCGTTGGTCCTGGTGTCAAGAAGGCTAACTGCCCTGGGAGCAGCTGCAGCTCAACCCATGGCCTTCGAGTCTTGAGCAGGAAAGTATCTTTTCCACTATGCAGATTGGACATACGTCACTTCACGGAGGGGTTTCCTAAATCTTGCTTATGGAGTTTCCCACATGTAAGTTGGAATGCCCGCCAGTCTTTGCAAAACCGAATGTCAAAAGTTCCACTGGTGCCTAATATGTGCAGGTTCACACGCTTCGAAGCTGCTACAGCTTGTGAGCAAGCAGTGAGTGAGATTCACACAAGGACGTGCGCCAAATGCATTCTGGATAATTTGTCTTGAAATTGTTTGGATTTTCCCTCTTCCGCGTCAGGTGAAACTGCTTAGATGGCGCCAGACACCCTACACAGAAATAACAACTATCGACTTGCAACCTTTGATATCTGCTGAAGTCATAATCTTTTCCTTCAGCGGCGAACGCAGCGTCCCAAGATCAGCCCTACTCATGACAGCGCAGCTTGCGCCTGCGAGCATCTAAAGCGTGCCTCGCAGGCCAGCAGACCGGCGCATGGCGGTCGAGTCGTTCAAAGCCCCGGTATCGATGCAAATGATACGGAATTCATGGTGAACTCCAACAACGAGTTCGGGCCTGCTACATCATGTGCAAGCTTGTCTTTATGAAGCCTGCCAAACATGCTGTCACAAGCCATCAAGCTTACGCGGCGTGATTTGGAGATATTCTGCTACGACCCCCAGGCGACTCTGCGAAGATGCCAATCCGCATCTATCCAACAGCTGCAGTTCAAAGACCTCTGATTGTCCGCTTCCCCATGATGGGAACGGGAATGTCATCGCCACATCTGCAGTAGTTCGGACGCACAAGCTAGGGAAGGGTGCCCTGCTCCTCCATTGAACAAAAAGTCCCACAAATCGTTGAGTGTGTGTGTGTGTGTGGGCACATCAGGTTCATACAGAACATCTCAAAGAATCCAAGCGACATAGGGCATTTGAGATATAAGACCGCTGTCTCATGCGAGATTCGCTGGAGGAATCCTGTTTACACAAAAGAAACTTGGGCAGAATATGCATCTGATTTAATGGTTTGCGACAAAGTTGCGCACTGAGGACTCACTCGGCTTTCAATGCGCCAAACCTACTGTGAACACGTTGCGCCAGGTGCAACACACCTAGCAGCTTCAGGGCCAATAAAATGCGGCAAGAGAGGATCATGAACAAGTTGTACTTTTGCTGCAGCACTGGCCAAAGCGAAGGCCCTGCCCAGTACCAAAAATCCACAAGCAGCCAGCAGATTTGCACGCACAACGCCATTCCGGCCTTGGCCTTCAACATGCTTCGTGCAAAACTCCAAGTGCCCCAAGCACACAACAACTGAAAAACAAGGCTGAGCGTGTAGAACACATGGTTTTGACTGATAAATTCAGTTTTGTCAGCTCCTTGCCAGAAAACCATACACATGGCGGTGGCAATCTCCACTGTCAGGACTGTTGGCAAGAACGCCCAAAAAAAAACACACCCGCAGCTCCGGAATTGCGTTAACCTGGGGTCTTTGTCTTCTGCTTCCCAAACAGACATTAGAACCACTGCAGACATCGCCATGCAAAGTGCGTGCTGCATGTTTCCTGCAAGCCTGGAAATCACAATGTAGTCTCCAAGGCCAAGAAAGCGCAAGTGGAAAAGGATTGCAAGAACAGAAGTGCTACACGCGCACAGTGATGCTGCCAAGACATCGGCATGCTTGCTGAGCCTTGCCACCCTGACTGCACGCTGGAGAATCCAGCAATGCGCACACAGATTTCCAGCTGCAGCAAGGAAGGTGATGCGACATCTGTTGAGTGATACACCCGCAAGTGCGCAATCGAAGCTTGAAAAATTGCCCCAACTTAAACACACATAAGAGCTATCTCTCAAGTCACTGCACAAACAGGAGTTGTCTGGACAAACGTACTTCTGAGGTTGGAGCGCCTGGACCTCGAACGCTTTTGGAAGCAATGCAAGCCACAAGGCGCGATGCACAAGTAGCGTCAATACAAATGCGACCATGATGCCGCCAAGACCCATCAGACAAGCCATAAATTGCCACGAATTCGTGACTTGTTCCCGCTGTTCAGTGGTTCTCTTACGTAAGTGCTTAGCAATTTGAGCTGCAGAGTCCAGCGAACCCTGGATGTCCTCCTTGTCATATTTTGCCGCGTCTCTGCGCAGGATGGCCAAAGGCGAATTTGGATATGGGTCCCAAGGGTAAGAATCAAAGAGCGTGATTAGCTGTTGGAACAAGAAAAAGCCACTACCGTCATTTTCAGCAAAGGACGAGTCGTTTCGCAAAAGGTCTTTCCCTTGCCTGAAGGCCAGGGCCTCCACCATGTTTCCTTTCAGTTGCGGGCACAAACGCTTCAAGACTTTGACGGCATTCTTCGCCCCAGGGTATCGCTCAAAGTATTCCAGCCTCGACCTGTTCCTTTCCTCTGTGCTTGTAGCACCATCCACTGAGGGAAACGTTACAAGCTCAAAGCTAAAGTGTCCGCGGGCAGGCACAACTTCCCACTCCAACTGTAGCTTGGCGTCACGAAGTTTCATGGCCTTTTTCCCTTCGGAGACCTCTCGAAAGCGCTGATCCTTTGCCAGAGCTCGAGCAAATTCCTTCCATTCCTGCGCAGTCACTCTCGATCGCGTTTGCAAGACATAATCACGGTCACTCTGATCGCCGTGCGCTTTGCGGATCGCAGTACCCACCCGAGTGGATCCGATGAGGTCCAAAGTGAAGCCACTCCACACCGTGGCAGCCACCTGTTTGGACGACACGATAAAGGAAGTCAAAAATCAGGGGTCAAAGTCTAACGCCCCCCCCAACGCCCCCCGAAAGCGGCCCGATACCTTCCCTTTTTCGAATTTGGTCTTCTTCTTATTATCTCTTCTTTCTTGCGCTCACTTCTTTAAAATTGAATGACCCCCTCGCCTCTTCGATCGCCTTCTCCACCTCTTGGACATCGCCGGGCTGCACGGGGGGCGGCGTCAAACCTTCTGCCAGCTCTTGGAATCGTTGGCTGACGCCCCAGGCATCCACGAGGCGATCGAAAAAAGCGCCATCATAGTCCATGAGAAGCTAATTTCATCAACATCTATCGTTATATGATTGGGGACTTTGAATGAAGACATTGGAAAAGAAGAAAAAGAAGTTCAGCGTCACGCTTGTTTGGAGCGTCGTGTTTGTTTGGGGAATGTGTTTTATGATAATGAGGTCGGGGAATGTCAAGTCCCTTCAAAGAATTCGACATGATCGCTATTCTGGTGCCACATTACTGCTGTTGCTCACAAGGCTCTTGAAACTGATCCGAAAAGCGGGCGCTTCAACTTGGGTCTTGTCGTTTCGTTTACCAACAAACACAGAGAGGCATTCTGTTTTTCCCTTTCTTTTCGAACTGGACACGACACAGTTTACGCAATTGCTTGCGCCAACCTTCCGCCATGTGAAAGGTAGCAAGTAGAACGCTCATTGTTGGTGTAGGGGTTTCCGCTGAGTTTGCGCGACAGTTACCGAGCGTCTCGTCAAGAGTTTCTGTTGGATTCTTCCTTTACCGTTGGGGCCCATACCTTACTTTACCATTAGTAGGCTGACGACGATGGAAGGCTAGACTTTTGTTGTCAGTTCTGAGTTCTATCACTGGAGCTTCCGCAAGGCTTGCGCAGGCCTTCTGCAATGTTTCCGCCAAAAATTGGCAGGCGTCTTTTTTTGCAAATGTTGGTTGCTAACCTCTGGCATTTAACTATTCCACTTCGACTGCCAAAATGGTATAATAAAACGCAGCGACCAAATCAAGACGCGAGTCCGTATGTGGAAGCAATGAAAGCAGAATGGCTTTCTACGCACAGTGCAAGTGATGTCACCACAATCACGACAGGAGGAAAGTGACAGACTGGTTTGCGAACATCTGTTCCCTTTGCTTTGAAAAACGATAGTTCGAACCGAAAAGAACTGCAAAACAGGTCGCGGCATTCAATCGAATATTACTTCCCACAGTGTATACCGCGCTCTCTTCGGGCGGACCACCTGCGGAGGTTCAACGCTGGGAGTTACAACTCCTGGTGTTGAACAAAGGTTTCGACCATGCGCAAAATGGCAAAGCGTGCAGTTCTTTTTCCCAACCTTGACAGCCGGTGCGCCAGACTTGCTGCAAGTGGAACGCTTTGGAAACTCACGGCATGGTCTTCTTTTGCTGTCCAAGGGCAGACTACCAATCTAGCCACAAGGGCGCAGCGAAGCCGCTAGGTTCCGCATTCAGGAGACACACCGGGCAAGCGCTCTTGCAATCTGGACTCAAAAGCACAAGACTTGCTCAAATACATCAACTTGATGCCGGCGGCAGTCTTCATCGACTGACCCTACTCCACACCGGGACGCTTGCGACTCTCAGTGAAAGTCTCTTGCAGAATCGATTCGCAGCCCCTCTTCCCAGATTCCACGAAGAACGGATTTTGCCAAGTTTGCGTTGCTGCCGCCTGCTTGCTTTCAGTCGCCACCCAAGGCGCATAGACTCTAAAGGAGAGTTTTCCTTTCTCTCCTCCAGACTCCTTCGAAAGAATCTTCTGTTTCAAGAGATCTTTTGCAGGGAAAACAAAGAATCCAAACTTGCTACCTTCCTCCACTGCCACCAGAAGCGCATGAAGATCCTCAGGTGTGAAAGGAACAATTGGACCTTTCCCTCCGGGACGCTTCCAACATGTGACGAAGGCTCCATTCTTGGTGGGCGTGATCTTTGCGGTGCGGTAGCAACACGGTTTTCCGCCCAAACGCAAGGAGCACGCATCGTAGGCTGCATTCTTGGGATCAACATCCACCACAGGCTCGCCCACCTCAATCCCAGCACTCTCCAGAAGCTTACGGCAGCGCCGAAATGCAGCACTGGAGAACGACATGGACGAAAAATCAAATAGGAAGTATGCAAGAAGGCAAAGGAAAAAAATGTTCTTCATATACATGTCAGGTCTTGAGCCACCCCGAATGCCGAATTTCACTTCTTTGGACGTCACTGTCGCAGCTGCTCAAAGCACCGTTCGCAACGAGTCTTCCGCGGTCGGCCGCTCTTTTTCCACTGGCCCGATACTTTATCTTACTTCTATCTGCGTACACATATTGGTGTTCAAACGCAGCACAACTGTTGGGGATAGTCGGGTTGTGAACTTTCTGATTGACTGCGACACGCCATTCACAAAATTGACTTGCTGCAACTTGCAGTACAGGCTGGATTCCCCACAGGAGAAAAAGAATTGCAATACTATGGATTGTGTACGGCTTCAAGAGGGTGGGCAACACCAAGCTTCAAGCCAATCGAAATAAAAAAATATCAAAAACCGGGCTCGCAAGACCAAAGCAGATATGGCGCCATCCAATCGCTTTCCAATTCCGGAATGCGTCAACCAAAACTTCCTTGAGATGTCTGGTCACAACAAAAGGCGCGTGTTACTTGTTCTGCCCTCACTTGTCATTTTGGCAGCCAGTTTGAATCTAGGAACTCATCAACTGCATTCCGGAGGTTTTGCGATCGGTTCAAAGGAGGATATGCGTGCGCACCTTCGAACTCCACCAAAGTTCGAGTTCTTTTGTTGAAACTTTGGCCAAAGATCGGGGCCGCTTGCTTGAACATCTCCAAGTCCTGGCGCGCCAAAAGCGAAAAACGCGATCGGAAACACCGGCCGGAGCGAACAACATCGCCAGGCCGCGCCCGGCCGCGGCCGGACAAACGTCACGAGTCGGAGTAATCCGATTTCTCCAAGAACGTGATGAATGTGACTCACCCAAACGATCTGAACAATAATCATTGAGCATGTGATTGTGGTCAATATTTGCTCCTAGACCCCATTGGCGCAGTCCTTGCGCCCATGGAGTAACAGCAGCGGCATGTCCAGCGGCTGTTGAAAGCAGCCCTTCTTTTCGTGGTAGGGGCATTGCCATGGAGCCATAGCTATCATCATTCGCACTTCTCCAAGGCCAATGTCACTCTGCTGCTGCTTCCACAGCGCAGCTTGTGCAAATGCGGCGCCTTGACAAAACCCAGCCACTGCGTCAAATGGACCATGACTTTTGGCATGTTGCTTGAGGTAGACGAATGCCTCTTCATAACGTTTCAGCTCCAAGTCTTCCTCCTCGCTGGAAAGGTCTCGCTGCTCATTTTTCATGTGGATATCGAAGAAGATATCAAAGTTGGCACACCATTCCTTGTATTCTCCACCAGGCACATACTTCATCTCCTCAACCAGTTGAGTAAGGCCAACGCGCTGAAGCTGTTCATCGTCTGTGTCAGCCAGCACGCTGTGCGGGCCATCGAAAATCACAAAATCCATCGTCTGCGTCAGCCAGCCTTGGCGTTTCAACAGTTCATAGGCAATGGCCGCATCGGTCTTTTGCCCATGGAAGAACAAGACTCTCAGCCGGCGTGGCACGGTCAAAGCGCCCCAGAGGTTCTGGAGGCTTGTAGGCCAAAGTCGGGCCACCATGGCACTCGCTGGGCGCAAGAGCTCATCGAAGTCAGCAACCGAGAGAAGCGGAGCTCCTGACCAACGGGAAGCAGGAGCGGATGACCGTTTTCATGGAGTGCCATGGCACGTGCCGGGAGTTTAAACCCAACTTGTTTTCGTGCTTCCGAACGGACCTTCCAAGCGCTTCCAGAAGCGTTACACGCTCTGGTTTCTCTTAATTTTGATGCGCAGCTGTACAGGAAGCCAACTCGGGCTCGAGAACAGCATTCTCGTCTGGGACTGACATTAGCCATTCTGCAGCGTTGGTTCTTGTATGTTCTTGTGGTCCCTAGCTGGCGCTGAAACACATGGAAAGGGCCTCCAGTACAATCGCCATATGGGCCATATGTTTCTTCGAGCTTGCCAACCAGTGACAATTAAAAAAAGAAAAATAAAAATAACGAAGCACAACGGCGAAAAGAAAATTGCGAAGACAAACGAAGCACAACGGCGTAACACTAAGCTCCTCCCAAGTCATGCAGGAAATCTTCGCGATTCTTTTGAATGAGCGCGACATTGCGTATCCAATCCTCCCGGCGCTGGGCCACAAAGAAGTGGAAGGGTAGCTGGTGTGCCGTGACTTGCGCGACTTTCTCTTTGGTCGGCCCAAAGTGCTCCCACATGATGGTCACATCGACTCCAGGAGCAAACTTGGTCTTCTCGAAGACCTTTGGTGCAGTCGGTGCAGCTTCTTTTCGGTTGTGGAAGCGGCTGACTAATTCAAGAAACGGTCTACAGACATTTCACGGGAAACCCTGCTTTTTTCCCCACGTTTCAACTGAAGCGCCTCTGGATTGTTTCGGTAGTACAAGAAGGCTTTGGCGAAAGCTTGGACATAGAAAGGATAGCTTGGACACAGGAGGCTGTTCACTCTCTCTGGCACCTGAAACGGCATGGAAGCATCACACGAAGGGACAGGCACGTACCCACCCAAGCCTGCAGACGTAATACAATCTTCATGTATACGTGCAGTCCGGGCAGTTGCAAGATCTCAACTTAGAGGTTTGGAGAGGGTGGACAAATTTAAGAAATATATGGGGGGGATGAACTTAGCAAAGACCCACTACCACCCAAATCGCCTGAAATTGATCGTTGGCGACCAAGTTCGGGTCGCCATTGATCCAGAAGCTAGCATTGCGTTCGAGGTCTCGTCCGAAGATTTGTCGCACCAAGTCATCGCGATGGAAGCCAAGACATTTGAGGAATATGTCACCTCACACGCACATACACACACACACAATTGCCATCTGCGAAACAAACAGGAAAAACACGCGATCGATTAGTCATTAAGTGAGGCACAACGGCAACGCTGCAGTGTTCCGTCTGCTTGCTTCACAATCTCAGCGGCGAAACATCTAGTTTTGGAGTGGTTTGAAACTCATACCACCAGTTTTGGAAGTTGGAAGGACAACTCTCAGTCAAGAACTCAAGAACCGTGCAAAAAAACATGAGCATGCGCAGCTGTCCACTGAGCAGCTGGCTACCGCATCTGTCTCTATGTGGTCCACCTCGCCTATAATGACCTTCAAGACTCCCATTGCCTTGGCATCATTGCATGGCATAAAGGAAACCTGGCTACACATGTGAGGCTATGCTAAGGTTCCCTCCTGCGCCAGAAAGTAAATGTCCGAGCACGCTGGGATGCGGAAATCAATTGAATCGCCATCGAGCCCAGGTAAATCCTCCAAAGTGAGGCCAACTGCAGCATAGAACTGAGCCAGAATCGGGCGGATTGCCCGGATTGAAAGAGTCTTGTCAACGGAGTTGATGAGCCAATTCACCACTGTGGGGAACACCACATTGCGCCGCCTGGCCACCATGATGACGGAGCGGGCATTGTTCTGAAGGGCTGTTCGAAGGTTCTCCACCGCAAAAGCTCCATGCCCAACGATCAACACGTCTTTGCCTTTGAACGCAGCAGGAGGGACGTCATCTGCATGACCGAGTTTGCAAGGTCCAGCAAAGTGTTCCTCACCTGGAAATCGATTGCCATTTGGCTATTAGGTTGGAGCCCATCGCTAGTAGGTTGGAGGCCATCGCTCTTGGGTTCCTTTTGCCATTGGGTTGGAGGCCACGCTGGTAGGTTGGAGGCCATTGCTATTAGTTTTCCTCGCCTGGAAATCGGAGATCATTGGGGCGGTGCAAGCCTCCCAAAAAGCACGCCACCCCATCCACTCGGAGTTCTCGATTTTGGTTCAAGTCGTCCGAGTATCTCACCAAGTACTCACCTAGAAAGGAACGCAGCATCCAAAAGAAACCAACAAGGATTAAACATGCGTTTCAGAAAAGCACGTTTTAGAATGTGTTAGATACGTTTCTGTGCGTTGCACGCTTGGCACTTCGAGTACCCATCAGAATTGTCCGTAGCCTGGAGTTTAGAAAACATGTCTAGAGTTCCACATGCGTCTCCCCACCTCTTGCAAGGGTCTCGACCGAATGGACAGTGTGCCGCAGTCGCAAATCGGGTAGCTCATGAGCGACTGAAGAAACCTGCGCCATGACCTGCTGTTTGCTGGGGTACGTTGTTTGCCAAGGAAATGGTTGTTCATAGTCCAGCATGTAGGAGGGAGAATCGATCTGAAGCTGCGATGATGTATTTCCGAGAGACCAACAACCTCCCGCTTCTGCAGACCTTTCCATCACAATGACACGCTCACCTGCGCGCACCAGTTGCTGGGCAAACGCCACTCCACCTACACCAGCACCGACCACCAAAGTTGTGCGCTGGACCGCAGGAGAGCCTTGAGGTCTGCTCTGACTGGCCATCTCCTTGCGAATGTACGCTTGCAGGTCTTTCTCTGTTGGAGCATCTGTCAGCAAAGTGGCCGGGAGCTTCATGCCAAATTGGGCTGACAAAGACCTGGCCATTTCTGCGGCGCCTAGGGAGTCGAGGCCAGACTCATTCAAATCTGCATCTAAGGACACCTCATCATTCAGCAAATCTGCTATCACACGGTGAATCTGCGACTCCAGGGAATCCTGAGGAAGAGCTGCCTTCCAACTGCTCGGGCCAAACATCTGGCCATGGGGCCAGAACTGCAAATCATGCTTCAACGCCAAACAGACACTCCCCTGAGCCTTTGCAGTCAAGAGGTAGCTCATCATCGCAACGCCTTGGTCGTTGCTCCACGCGCCAAAGCCGAAATCACTTGCGCGCCTCAAAGCCTTCTCGTTCGCTGCCATGCCAGCTTCCTTCCAAGGGCCCCATTGAATGCTGAGCATCCTGGTACCTTGAGAACGCACCGCAAACGCGCTATAGCCATCAATCGCTGCGTTTGCTGCCGAATAAGGTACCTGACCAGGGCTTCCCAGCACCGCAGCAACCGATGAAAAGAAGAC